CGAACGTTGAAACTTGCCAGCATAAATGAAGATAGGGGTCAAAGGAGGATTACTAACAGAACTCGCGGGTATCGGAAATATACTCAACGGGAGGAGAAATATTACTGAAGGTAAGTATGGTGTATTATGGTGCTGCGTGAACAGTAAAGGCAGGAGCAGAAGAAAGCGAGGCGGTGGTATTTATGGTAATCTCCAAAACAAATTAACGTAACTTAGAAGTAGATGTTATAAGTTTTTCTAGGAGGAGACATCCAGAACTTAATTATGCTTCAACAATTCAAGTTTTGAGAAAATGAACTCAAATGTTCGGATCGTTCCGCCGAGGAACTCGCATCATCCTCTTGGTGAAGCCAGACGACGCGCATGTGTTGGGGTGATGGTCCAAGCAAATGGAATGGCGTGGGAAGTTGGCATCAAATAAAGTGAAACACGACTCCTCCGCAGTAACTGAATAATCCAGCTAAGTCGTTAACCATTCTCCCTTTCCGCATTGCAGGAGTGGAGTGAACTGTGGTTTTTGTTCTCATTCTCGGAGCAAGTGACCTCAGCGTCAGCAGTGAGCGCCTGTTCCGTTTGTTTCTTTAATCGTTTTTGCGTTGACAGACGATCCACTTTCTCATGATGTTCTTTTAGTTTTTGCATTTTCTTATCATTCATTTCCTGAGAGAGAAATTTATTGAAAAATTTAGCTAACTTGAACTCGTTTGTCGCGCTCGCGCTGTTTCTCCATAAAATTCGTTGAAGGTTCCTTTTTCGTCGTGAGGCGCTCCTTTAATTGAGATGGCATCTCCGTCCGTGCCTCAGCCTCACCGATAAAATAACTGGTGCCATAAGGAGGATTTATGTCGTCGGGATTCGCAGCGTCTCCCATGGAAAGCGAATGCAGAACTAAGAAGAGATTCAATCGGCAAGCACACTTGCTACACCACGTGAGCTCATAGGTAAATCGATATATTCTTTCAAAAAACAGAGCACGTGTGCTACGCTCATCGTAGTTGTCGGAAGGTGAGATTTCAGCGGCGACCATCCACAAAATGGGCTCACCGATGGGATACCGTTCACCAAGGATATATGAGGTAATCTCGGGCCAAATCACCGTGTTGCACGTAAGGGGGGATTCCAGGCAAGATGACCTCACTCGTGCAGCTACCAGGGCCTGATTTGCAGCGCCTCATAATCCGTAACTGGATCCAAGAGTTCATTGATCGAATTCTGCATTAAATGCCGGGTTTCAACGAATTCGCGTGCTTACCGGCATTTTATCTGGCAAACAGTCAAACATTACCTTCACACCCCGAGCTACGGATATCCTCAACAACTTTAAAGAGGGAAATGTTAAAGGCACTAAAGGATGTCAACCTATCTAACCGACTCGAAACCCACAAACTGCGTCCTATTTAAGACAGTTAGTTCCCTATAGTAAATTAAAAAACACAGTAAGAAGATGTAGACTGGCAAATGCATGCATTTCGTATTGCGAGATATTAGAATGAATCAAGGGAGGCAAAAGCTGAGTAAAGAATTATTTTCGGTAATTCTCATCAGACTCAAACATTACATGATGACAAGAAAGTGCTAAATATGGCGGATTGGGCTGCGTATAGAAAAGAATGTTTAATTACAACAGGAACATTACACTATTCACAAAAATCCACAAGGAACAAGTCAACAAATCACGGGATCATTGAAAGTGGCTAGTATGTACAGGGGAAATCAGAGCCGAAGTTGTAGGCCACGGTAGAAGTAAAGGACGTACAAACTGTTTTTGTACGCACAATTCTGGCTTGAGTTGGCGGATGTAGATTGCTTCTCTTGAATCACTCTCATAAATGGGAAATTTCGGATTGCCGACGATCAGCATTCCCGTGATATTGCGAGATATTTCAAAAGGCACTGATTAGACAATACGTAATTTGTCTTATTTGTAAACATGATTAAGTGTATTAAGTGCATGATAGAGTTTTACTGTTTTGACAATTTTCCGCTTAACCTTCGTCTGCGACTGATTGCGCATATTGAATATATGGTTGGCAGCATCCAGTTTCAGATTTGCCTGTCACTGTGGCAAGCCACAGGACGCTTGCGCCTACAGAGGGACCATGGGTGACTTGCGCTGCACCACTCACAGCTCCAACCACACACACCATATCCAGTGTAAATCAGAAAGAATAAGACCGGGAGACATGCGGATGGGAGCCACGTTTCATCAACGGAGCCGGACCACACTCCTTCACAGGCAAACACAAGCACGCTGTATTTGGCGAATCAAGTACACACAAGGCGGTGGCTGGACCGTAGTCCGCTCCACACTGACTGCATGGAACCACTCTTTGGTCCTAACACGGCCACAAGGATCGTGCACCCTGTCCCCTCCAGCAACGACCAACTGTCTCCTGGAACCAGTATGGACGAGGTAGTGGGTAATAGACAGGTAGGCACCTTGTCAACATGCACATCAAGCGCATCCACACCGTGGATTTCAAGCAACAGCCAATCACTTGCGAGAAAGATAACCAAGAAAATAAATCGAGTAATGCATAAGGAAACAGTAACATAAATCTTGAATTAATAGGCATATGAAACAAGTTGTTTACCAACAAATACGAGGTAAGTTCACGAGGTCAGGATTTTTTTTACGGAAACGCTACAAACACGAATATGTTATCGAAATAACTGCAAGTCGTTTAAGCGACGTTTGCAAGTGTATAGAAGAGAGTATAAGTAGGCATTTATATGGGAAAGAAAAGCATTAGGACAAAATTGAAAACCCACCACCTGAAATAAATAGACTTAGCATGCAACCATGGCTTGCAATTGTTTATCAGAGAACAATTGCTACCCGTATCGTAAGTGCCATGTTCAAAATCATGGTCCACTGACACGCAAGCACTTTGATGCACTGAATGATTTAAGGCGTAATGATAAGATCTTCCTGAGCAAACCAGACAAAGGCACTGGGGTCGTTCTATTGGACAAAGACGACTATATAAATAAGCTGGAAAGAATTCTGGCTGATGAAACAAAATTTTCCCGAACAATTGGAGAAAAGGATCAAACGGAGCGAACCGAAAAGCAGATTGCTAAGAGCTTGCAAGTGCTTCGGATTAGCGGATACATGTCAAATACTCTTGATGAGAGTCTTAAGCCGAGTGGCACGAATGTTCCGAGGCTTTACGAGTTACCTAAAATTCATAAGACTGATGTCCCACTTCGCCCAATTTTATCAATGGTTACTTCGCCCTACCATTCTGTTGCTCAATTGCTTGTGGAAATTCTTGAGCCAATAGCACAGCAACTTACACCTGACAGCCTTCGTGACACTTTTCATTTCATCGAAAGCGTCAGGGACCGGAGCATTAGTAAGAAAATACTGTTTTCCTTGGATGTTGTCACGCTATTCACCAACGTCCCACTTCGCGAGACAATTGATTACATTTGTACCTACATCAAAGAAACATAGATAACGATAGGCATAGCATTGCGTGATTTGAAAAGAATCCTTTTGCGTTGCACCTGGAACATACAGTTCCTATTCAATGGCACTTACTACCGTCAAAAAGATGGTGTAGCCATGGGATCGCCACTCGGTCTGCTGCTTGCTGATGTCTTCATGGCAAAATTAGAGAACACCAAACTACATGCAGAGATCACCACCTTTGATTGTTATCATCGCTATTTGGATGACATATTTGTTGTGGCCGATCAGTCCACTGACCTCGACGCTGTTATTGAACGCTTTAATCAGGCCCACGCAGCATTGCAGTTTACCTGCGAGAAGGAAGCGAACAACCGGTTGCCGTTCCTTGATGTGTTGTTAACTCGTAAGGTAGATGGTACGATCCAACGGCAAGTCTACAGGAAGAAAACCTGGAGTGGTCAGTATACGAACTTCCATAGTTTCGTTCCTTTGAGATACAAGCGAAACCTAATTCGCTGTTTAACCACAAGGGCCCGCAGGATTTGTTCTGAAGACACGTTGGATACTGAGTTGGAGTTCATACAAAATGTGCTGCGCGAAATCGGGTATCCTGATCGATACATTCTTAAGAACATGCAAGACAAGCCCGACCCAGTGTAGATTTTAATAGCTGAGAAGAAAGAACTATTTATAAGATTACTTTTCAAAGGAGACGCAGTCGCCGAACGTGTAGCCAGAAGGCTTTCTACAGCCGTTAAGTCAACTTTTCCAGCTGCTAAGCTGAAGTGCACTTTCTTAACGGAGCCCCTCATTCGCATTTGCAACGAAGACAATTTGTCGATGCTGACCGCTTCTATGGTCATTTATCAGTTCGAGTGCGCCTGTGGCGCTACTTACATCGGTCGAACGGCACTGCACTTGTCAAAGCGCCTTAATGAGCACCTTCCACGCTGGTTGCGTCGATGCGGTACCAGGGCCATAACTAGCTCTGTTATGGCTCATCTAGTTAATAGTAGGCATGAAGTCGATCCAGTCCGCGCCTTTCGAATAATCTACGAGGTTCCGCCACTTCAATCGAAAGGCCTGCGCCTCTGCACCCTCGCTACAGCCGAGGCGATCGTATTCGGTTATACCAACCGCTTTTGTGTTCACAAAAGCAACTGACCGAAGCTCTTAAGTTACTCTGGACAGAAAAGATGGACGATTCGGAGGCCATAAGCAATCATTTGACTACATTTTTGCCCTAGTTTGCGCTTATCGTTTACGTTTATTGCTGGTTTATGCCCCCGGTTGGCATTTGAGCTGACCGAAACCACTGTTACTCCCATTGCTCTTTACCCATATGATTGTAAAGGTCTGAAGATGAATTCATCGAAAACAAATGTTTTCGTTCCAGTTACATAGTCAGCTTCGCAAAATTAAACGGCGACTGACTCGAGCGCTCTTTCGCATAAAAAATGCATGGTGAACGGAGTAAGCGAAGCAGATGGAATGCCACACCGAACGCAACGACAGCAAGGAATTCATTAACTCCTTAAAGGCGGTGTATGGACCGAGGTTGAAGCCATTAAGGACGCTGATCGATGGTACTTCAGGTCTTACCTGCACGCAGACTGCAGAATGTCACGTACGCGAATGACTTCGATCCGCCTACTTCAGCCGTGCGCGGATTGGTTACCACTCATACCAGCTAGCCAACCATCTGCACACACCCCCCGGTCTCGCTACACGTTTCCGTGAATATTGTACCTTCTCAATTTACTGATAAACCTCCTGCTGTTCAGACCTCTTCTGCTTGCTGGGATTACGTATCTCGGAAGCGTGCGTTACATGCTTAGTGGTACCACGGTTTACAGACATGATGCAGATCCGGCAAAAACACTTTGACTGTCTCTTGAACAACCGTTCAGAGATCTACTAGCCTATATTGAACGGCCTGAAGCAGCACGAGGTGAGTTTAAGTTTGGCGGACACAATGACACTAGATGAGACAGTGAGAGCACTTGCTTAGCTTCGGAATGGCAAGTTTGCTGGGGACGACGGGATCCCGCCTGAAGTATTGAAACACGACAGACCTGCGTTGGTCACTGCGCTGCACCGCTTGGTGCAACGCATATGGATTGAGGCGGAGGTGCCTGCTGGGCTGAAGGATGCCCTTGTGCTATCACTGTATAAGATCAAAGGGAGCAAGCAATGTTACACGAATTATCGTATCATCAACTTGCGGAGTTGTGTTGGCAAGGTGATTGCCCTAATCCTGCTCAACCGCCTCGTCAGTCAGGTTGTGGAACCTAACGTGGCGGAAGAGCAATGTGGATTCCGCTCGGGTCGCAGCACTATAGATATGGTGTTTGCGGCTCGTCAGTTGCAGGAGAAGTGCAGATAACGACACCAGCAGTTGTACTAATCAGTATATCATTATACACGTTAGCTATAGGTGGGAAACACTTCAT